AAAAAGCAATTTATGTTTTATTTTGAAAGTCGCTCGGCGAGACCTCTAGATTACCGGGTTTTTTTTTAATGCTTACTTACCGACGGTCAATCATAGTTCAAATCAAAGTATTCATAAGTTTATAAAAGGCACTATCACCTGGCTATGTTGGGCACAAGGTTTGTTTTAATTATTTTTCATGTTATATTGTTTCCGGTTGGAGTTTGATGATTGTTTCATGGATGTAACATGTGTTAGCAGTAGCAAGTTTTAGCCTTGTATCATTCTATTTATAGCTAAGCTAATTCCTTTGTTTTATTATTAGATCGGAATAATTTGTGTGTTTATCTACAATCTGCTTACCGTAGTTTAAATGGTTGTTTATTGGATAAAAGGAAAGGTAATTGTGTTTTTTACTTTTATTTTCTTATAGCTCTTATGGTGAGTTCATATGCTGCCTCCAATCACCATTCTAAAATAAAAGAATATGAACCATTAGTTAAAGAGTCAGACCATCAATTAGCTTGGACGCTACAAGGAGTTTATCCTACACAGACTAATAAAATAATCTATATTAAAGAGACTTGTACTGGTCATTTGGCGATGCTCCGATCTTTCTCCTGCGCTTGGTCCATGTTTGCTTTGGTCAGCATGCCCAAAACAGAGGGAAGACTCAATGTGACAACAGAGGTAAGTGAGCAATGTTCTCGAGCTCAGACAAAAGCAGACAGAAATATATAGAGAGCTCCATAAATGAGATGAAGCGGCCATCAATGCTCTCCTCTGGAGCTAAGGAACCACAGCACTAACTCAGGAGGAGAGCGGCGGAGAATTGCAATAGACCAGAGAAACCTTGGGCACTGAAGGCGAGTGAGAGGCTACAACTGACCCACAGGACAGTCATAGATCGGATAACTCCGCCGGGGAAAGTGCTGATGTCGGTGGAGAGGGACTGCAGCTCACCATGAGGAGGACCAGGGTACATCGGAGAAACCTGCCAGGGAAACAGAGCGAGAAGAGGTGGCAGCAGGCTGAGGCTGGCCTCTAAAGGCCAACTGCTAGAGGTGAAAGGGGTGGACAGACAGCGGAGCTCTGGTTGGTGTCTGCGCATGCTACAAGAAGACAAACAGTCTATCTAAGGCTGAATTAAAACTTAAGAGCAATCTCTACCCGTTATCACCAATGTTGTCTCTATCTTTCATTTTTATTTAATAAAAAGCTCGTCTCCACCTCCTCCTTCACTAAAACAGAGGTAATTTCATGATACTTTCTAATCTACTTGATACACATAATGATATAATGTTAATGAACATGTTTTTGGTAATAATCCCCAAATCCTGATGTGTGAGTCTCTAATGTAAACAAACCTCATCAACACTTGACAAGAAAGGTGATGTGGATGTGGTGGAAGTCTCCATATTGTTGGAAGTGGGGTTGAAGACAGGCGGTTCATGTCTGACCATGGCTGTGTCCAAATGTCCACTCAACCCCCATATCCCCCAATCACTATGTAGAGCGGAGACTATATAGTGGACTTTATAGTGAACTCAGTTTACTGACCATTCAGACAGATGATCACTACTTTTCATATATCTGCTCGTCTAGTGATCACTACTTTTTAAGGTGCATCAAGTCCACTACTTTATCATCCACTAGACATTCAGACATTCATTTAAAATGGATTTAATCACTATACAGTGCCCAATAAAGTGATTTAAGCCGATGGTAGGACACAGTCTATGAGATTTCGCTTGAAATCACACACTGTAGCTTTAAGCTCTGAATTGAACCAAACTGGCCTTCTTTCTTAGTGCAATTTTAGTGCAAATTTGCGCAGGTACAGCTTTTGTTTGTGCTGCTTTGGTTTTTAAGATATAATTTGTTATTTCTTTCAAAGATGTCGTGTCGAGCAGAGGTTAGTGCTGTCCTGGTTTCAAATATAAAGTTATTGAATAAAATAATATGGCATTCCTCCGCTGGCATTGCATTTAAGAGAGGGCATGTTTATCTTATTTAGTGGGTGTAAAAATTGTTTCAGATTAGGAGTTCATCAACCTTTACCCCTTGCAACTCAAGAGCATTTCCTGTCCATAATCTTGCTATTGGGATTTCACAATGAAACCAACTGTATATATATATATATATATATATATATATATATACA